AATTAAGGCAGAAAAGTTTCTTCCTTTGATTGGCAACCATCTTCTCTCTTCTGCATTGTTAAAAATGGTAGGCTGCAGAAGGAAAATGTCAAATTGTTAGGCGGAAGAAAGAAAAAATTTACATTGCAAATTTTCAACCAATCCTTCATTCTGATTGGTTGAAGAGGTAGGCTATTTCTCCTATAAAAGGAGAGCTTCGGCTTCTTCATTTCAACACACAGAAAGAGAAGCAACACAATAGTTGCAAAGAGTATTTCTCAGGCATTGTGAGAAATAGACTGTGTAGAGAAAAAATAGAGAGTGAGCGATATTATAGTGAGGTGGGAATATCAAAAGAGGGTTATTTCTTTTGAGTGTTGTAGTGGTCTTTGGAGTATTTTACTCGGACCTACAAAGTGTAAAATTTCTTGCTATAGCGATATTAGTCGAAACTCACCTAAGCCCCTCGGACTCCAAACCAATATGGAGACAAGTGTAATAACATCATATAAACTTGCTCGCCACCTCAAATCATCAAAATAACATCAAATAACAAGAATCGATCATCAAAACTCATGATTTTCAACTTGAAAACTCATTTTCATAATTTTTCACATAACGCGCCGAAATACGCTCCGGTACCCCGGACCCCAACCAAAAGTGCGTACAAGTCCAAAAATATCATAAGAACCTATCAGAATTGTCAAAACGCCGATCCGAGGTCGTTTACCAAGTATGTTGACCGTGGTCAACTCAAGTGTTATTTTAAGCCTAAAATCACTTTTCTTTAAATTTTCACATAAAATTTTTTTTGGAAAACAACGTGGACCATGCACGCAAATAAAAAAAAATCAAATGAATGTAATTGAGGTCTCAAAACACAGAAATAAAGGATAGTATTCAAAACGACCTGGGTCGTCACATGCAGAAAGCTGCTACAAGGCTTTTCTATAACTACTTGCAAGCTGCATGTGTCCGAGAACTAATTGCACGCTACTTGTTTGATTGCAAGCTTTTTCAGGAAGGTGTAGGGAGAATAATGGACATCCATAATACGGGGTATTCATAACAGTTTTGTAGTTCAAATACCATAATCAATTACTCATGAACAGTCAGTTTTAAAAGTTGTGAAAAAGTAAAACTTGAACTGTAAAAGTTGGATAAGGGCCAATAGTGGGCCGCAGGCCTTTTGTCTTGGTCCCTTTTTGGAACCCCATTGAACCATTGCCGATGATTGATTATACTAGAAAGAAACTTTCATCGTTTCTACTAGTATATATTAATGGTTCGCTAGTTTAGTTTGCTCAAGTAATAAATAAAAGAAGAGCTTCTCTTTAACTGGACTGCCATTTCATAACTGGATTTTGGTCTCAATTTGCTTTTTCATGGGAAATGCGAACAGGTCCCACTATCCAATTAAGAAAATCACAAGGTGGGCCCAAATTCGTTTCTGGGTAGTCAGTTACAGAATGGCCCATAAATGAATAATATAAAAATCAGAAATAGCTTAATTTACGACCGTTAATTGAAAAATAGCCACAATTTCAAAATTAATCGAAATTATTCACTTTTTTTATGTAAAAATAAAATCTGAAAAAAAATACCCTTAAAAATCCTAAAATATTCCAGCATAATATGCTGAAATTCATTTTTTTTACATATGAGATTCCAGCATAATGTGTTGGAGTTTCAATATAATGTGCTGAAAGTTTATACACAAGAGCTCCATAGTCCAACATATTATACTGAAACTTTCCGTGTTTCAGTTAAAATAGTGATTACTTTTTAATAATTTTACAAACATGACTATTTTTTTATTACCGGTTCGAAAATTGGCTAGCGATGATATTTACCTTATTTCAAACGTAAACAGCCCATGTTTGAGCCTAGGGCCTTGTGCACCTTTTGAAATATTCTTGATATCATATTTTTGGCCGTTCTATTATGTTTCTCGCTTCGTCCCATTTTAAGTGAAGGGATCGGAGTAATGATGATCAAATACTTAATATTTTGTGTGAATTTAAGTTTAGATTCTTTAGATTTTTAAAATAAAATCTGTATATCGTTAATGAAGTACTTCATATTATTTAAAATGACTTTGAGAAAATCACTGTAACAAAGTTTTGACTTTTCAAATAATAATTGTGTTATGTAAAATGGACTGAGCGATTTTTTTTATGTGTGTGTTAAAGTTCGGTGGTTGGTAAACCTTTTTTTTGGTAACTACATTTACTAGTTTTTCATAATTTATAGATAAATACAGTGTGGTACCTAGTAAATTTGCAGTAATTGTTTAACAATTCGCTAAAATTTGTCAAAGTAAATTACAAAAATAAAATAACTCTCACATAATCACCTATAGCTTTAAAAAATAATGTGAAACCATGATCCTTTCCTCTCATTTATTGCACCCGAAAAAATATATCGTGTCTTTAGATTTGCTTGTTGTGCCCGATTAGTTTGGGTCAGAGTTATATTTCGAAACAAGTTTAAATTTGAATATATATAAAAAATTATATTGTGGAAGATAAAAATTATCAGTTTTTGTAAATAAATATTGTAGAATTCCATTAACATAAAGAAAGTTCTATTGAAGCGAAAACGGTGTTTTCTTATTTCAAATTCTCCTCTTAGAATTCAGTCTCCGCATTGTCTTAGTCAAAGTGTGTGAATACTTGCTTCACTAAACTTGTAATCTATTATATTGAGCTTGTGACATCTGTTTATTCCTTTAACTTGTGGACATCTTTTAATTTAATATTTGTGCATGGTTTAGCGCCTATATATGTTTTGTTCATGTCAACATCGTGCTAATTAATTATATCCTATTGTTTAAATTCAAATCACTCCCTTGTACCCCCCCCCCCCCCC